TGAATGGGTAAACTGTGGTGACGTCACAAAATGGGATGTTCTGTAGCAAAAAGAATGAACTGTCTTCAACCATATGCAATAACTGGGTAAACTTCATGTATCTATTTTGAATGAAATAAGCTAGACACAATATGTGTGAAGATTAAAAAACCAGAAAACTGCCCTCTACTGGTAGAAGTTGGGAAGACGGTTACCCAGGGCTGTGGAGGGGATAGGAGGCCTCCGGCTGCTGGTGACCTTGTTTCCAGAGTTGGCTGTAGGTTCTGGGTGTGTTCAGTAAACATTCATGGGCCCTCTACCCCTATGACAGAGGCAGGTCTTTTTTGTTTTTTTGGGTTTTTTTGCATGTATGTTATGTTGCAATAAAAGCTGTGGAGGGGATTATCAGAAGGGATCCTTCCCCACTGAGGAATCCACTGGCAAAACCATCCAAAGGGAGCATGTTGGTTTCAGAACTAATAAAAATGGAATGTCACCCCAAGTTATTTTAGCTCACTTCAGTCATGTTTGGCTCTCACATTTGCCTAAACATCTGCACCCACAACTTCTTCATGTCTGCACATGTCCAAGAGACATTTTGTACCAATCATGGTTTCTATTTTCTAGATTTTATAATGCTTTGGCTTGGAGACCTTACAGACCCAGGAGGAACTGTCTCTCCCAGGGTAAGTTAAATTCTACTTTACTTATAGCAAATTTGCCTGTGAGCAAGCCTTTCTTATGCAGACTACCTACCCATCAAGAGCCCAGGCTCCATCCTCCTCCTCTGTCTGGCTTTTCTACTTCCAGGAGGCAAACTTTCTCTTCCCTTATCACCAGGTCCTGAACACCTAGGGGACCTGCAGCCCAAAGCTCGCCAAAATTATTCCAGCTATCCGGTACTTGGCCTGTTGTATGCCTTGTCTTTTCCTTCCCATGAGGCCACAATAAAGGTTCTACTCATGTTCTTCCACCCTGACTCACCCAGTGCTGCCTGTGTGGCCTGTACTTCTCCTCTTCTAAGGATCTGTACCAACTTTCTTTTTTATGTCATTTCTGTGTCTGCACGTTTTACCGTATCTGATTTAAACAAATCTTCGATGCTCTGTAAAGCACATTCATTCATTTCACAATTTTTAAAGCATGTACTATATTTCAGGCACAGTTTTAAATAGTAGGGATAAAGCAGTGACCATGAAACAAGCACCCTGAGCTCAGGAAACCCATAATCTAGTGGAAAGAGATGATGAACAAGCCAAGAAATAAATGTGTCCAGATACAATTAGGTGGCTAAGTGCATAAAACAGATCAAGATGGGTTGTATTGTTTTGTTTTGTTTTGTTGGCTTGTTTTAGTGGTTGGAAAAGTTCACTCGCAGGAGGTGACTCTTGAGCCAAGCCCTGAATTGTTCCTTGTACACCCAGGGGCACCCAGAGGTCTACACTGGAGGCATCCAAAGTAACTAGAAAGTTGTATCTACTACAGATGCTCAGCCAGAACAAACTCTGTCTCTTTCTCAACACACACAGGAAGGCTTAAGTCCAGGAGAAGATAACTTCCCCTCACTGGCATGCTCCAATCAACTGGCTCTCCAGACGCTGTAAAGCAGAAGTACCCAGGCACCAGGATGCAGAGGGCACATTGGCGATACACCACCCCAAAGGCGGCAGCCAGTTGTGTAAGTGTTCACATACTGTGTGCAAATTAAAGTGAGTGTGCAGATCTCTGGGCTGTCTTTGTTTCTGCTCATTCCTGGGCACCCACTGCTTAGCTCATCCTTGCAGCAACACCAGTCTGAGCCTGGTCACTGCCGTCCCAGCCCTTGGCCTGGGCACCCTTCAGCTGGACCCATCTCAGGTGGAAGGGGCTGCTCACCCCGAGGCCATGTTATCAGTGCTCAGATAGTACCATCTTTATTTTGAGATCAAACTAATTTTGGACAGAATTTAAAGTAAGGGTAGAAAAATTTTAAGTCATCCCCCTCCGGCACATCTTGGGTCACTGGCATTTCTTCCTGTACTGGGGAGTTTGCGCTCACATTCTGAATCCCCAAACCAACACCGTAATCCCTTCAGCAAGGAAGGACCATGTCTAAAAGCCTCTTATCTCCCCAGCACCTCCAGGAAGGGGCAGATTGATTTTACTTGGGGCCACTGGAGCCTAGAGCAAGGCCTGCTTGTCTGTAATGGAAGACACAGTTCATACCGCTGGACACAGTGTCCTCTTCTCACAACCTTGTAACTGGGACAGTTTCTCCCCAGAGCCCATTCTCCAGGCTCTGCTGCTGCCCTGGTGTATTTATCTTTGCCTGAGACTCCAATGGTTTATTTTCCACCATTGATCTCCCTGGTAGACACATGTTTGAGTATTTACACAAACACAGTGGGAGACTTTTTGTCTGTCACTGATGTCATGCTCCAGGGCTAGGAAAACTCCAAAGGCTCCCTCATACCTTGTAGCAATTTAAAACCAGCAGATATCTTCCCAAGGGCCCAAGGCTGGCAGAGCCAGAGCATGCCTGTGTGGCCAGAATGCAGTACTGGTCATCTCTAAAATGCCATTGTCCTCCCCAAACTCCAGCTCTCTCCAGCTCTGCCAGGCATTTAGTGGCTTGTGAATGGTCCTTTCCCTTGTATGTAGGTCAAATCTCAAATTCTCAAGGTTCCCAGCTGTCTTGGAAATGTCAACAATGAATCTCTCTCCTTATCAAGCAATTTTATTTCCCCATTTAAGCAGGAAGTCTGCAAAGGTAGGACCCTACCTACTGTTTATTCTAAGATCCAGACCTCCAGGGTGATGTGATGGCAGCTGAGCTGCCTTATGCATAGGCACTCCTTTAGGTCAAGGAAAGCTTTTGTGGTAAGGGCTTAAACATAATTTATTTGCTTATCCACCCAATTACTGTGTAATATTTATTTGTTTGTGTAAACCTCTACCTTGCCAGTTATTAATATGAACCACAAAATACTCTTTCAAGTAGGATTTATATCTAGGAGTAATTTCCAGGAATAGTTTGAATCTGACATATCATACCTGGAAGTATTGAGGAAAACTATAAATAACACCTAATTCCTACACTGGGTCTCTGTCTAATAAAGATGGTTTTGCTGTTCACAAAACAAAAATTAAAACAAACCAACAAAACCACCAGGAGGCTGGGAATTCTGTATCCAGGCAGGAAAAGCTGAGCACTGGAACTCGCTGCATCTTTGTGTATCTGCACTAAGACTCCTCTTTCTGTCCGCAAGTGTCACTTGGCAGATTATAAAAGCAAAAATTCATTTAGGGGTTTAGGCACACAGATTGAATCCAGATGCTGGGGTAGACCTGGGCTAGATAGCCAGGGGAAGCTTTACCTGCAGGATGGAAGGAAGGCAACCAGGGTACCGGGGCCCTGGGGCCAGGGTCTGCCAGGGGCCCGGACGTCATCACAGAGGATTTATGAGTTCTGTGCATGCAGCCAAGCTACTCAGTGTGGTAGCTGCCAGCTCCCAAGGCTACTGGGGAGGCTCTTAGGGATCTGGCCCAGGATTCTCTGGTCTCCCATCAATCTGCTCAGGCATGAAGGCACAGATTTCACTGCCACCTTCATCCTGTATTCCCAGCGGGACAGACGTTGACAGTTCACTGCTGGTCCCAGAGGACACACCTCCAGCCTTGTCTGATGACCCCAGCTGCTTTGTGCTGGCTTTGAGGACACCCCAATGGCTCTGATTTGCATATGTAGCTAGAGGGGGAAGCAGCAAGTGATACAGGAGACACGACACATAAAAAGTGGCTAGGGGACCATCTGGGTATCATTTGAGGAGCACTACAGATCCTGTGAACCTGAAGCTTCTCTCTCAGTGCCTGTCCAAGTATCTGAACTCTCACCTGTGGACTGGACACAGGACCTCTATAACACTGAGCTACATCCAAGCCCTTTTTCTTGATTTTGAGACAGGGTCTCACTGAGTCCCTAAATTGCCCAGCCTTCCTCTAACTTTCAGTCTTCCTGCCTCAGCCTCCCAGAGTGCTGGATTATAGGTGTGCTACTCCACACTTGGTTACCGAACTCTTACTTCTATAGCTTCTTCTACTTACCCTAATGCATACAGGGACTACAGAGGCTGAGGTGCTAGGGATGGCAGATAACACTGGTGGTGTGAAAGCCCAAGGCTGGAAAGGCGGGGACTAGAGCCCAGCACCCCTGTAGAACTGGCTGAGTTGGAGGCTTCTGTCTTAGCAACAGAAAATAACTGGAGGGAGGCAGAGTGAGGAATCCGGGGGAGCCCAGCCCAGGGCCACGCTTCTGGAATCATCTGTGCTGTGCAGAGGAGGAATCGTTTTGTTTTTCAAGTCCTCTTGGGTCAATAACTTTCATAAAATGAGTTACCAGGAAAATTAAATTTTAAAAGACATACAAGATACATGTCCCATTTTTTTTCTCAAAAACATTGTTTTAATTGGGAGAAAAGAATATAAAATCTACCATTCTCACCATTTTTGAGTGGATATTCCACTTCTGCTATGGTACAACCATCCTCAGAACATTTTTAGCTGACAGAACTGAAGCTACCCATTAAGCATTTCAGTTTGGCAGCCACCGTTCTGCTTTCTGTCCCTATGAATTTGATCATTTAGGTATCTCATACAGTTGGAACTATACAGTACTTGTCCCTTTGTGTGAAAAATGGCTCTGAGCATATGGGTGTATAGATATCTTTTCAAGTCTGCTTTCCATTCTTTTGGATGTATATGTAAAAAAGCAGAATAGCTAGGTCATCTAGCAGCTCTACTTTTAATAATTTGAGGAACCACTGTCTCATTTCCTCAGCGGCTGCATGATTTCATCTTCCTACCAACAGGGCACAAAAGCTCCAGTGGCTCCGCATCCTCACCAGTATAATTATACCATGTATTTTTATAACAGCCATCCTAATGGGCATGAAGTATAAAACTCCAATTGTTCTGTTTCAAATTAAGTTCAACAGGTGCGACATTACCCTATTTAATCGCTACAGCAAGTTTAAATCACTCACCTTCTGCTCTTATCTCACTGCAGATCAATAGCAAACTTCTCTCACCCTGGATCCTGCCAGTGGACCTGAGGTAAAGCAGCGCTGAGTCATGGGCAGTGTCCATCCCTAGGGGAGAGGAGCAGGGTGGGGAGAGGCAGCATCGCTGAGGCCTTGCTCTCTGGCACCTGCGTGTGTTCATCATTCGATCAGCACAGCACCCTATGAAGTTGATACTACTACTATCCCCAGCCTCTGGGTGGAAAACAGAGGCACAGGGAAGGCAGGGGTCCTGGCAGCATAGTATGGAGGGCAGAAAAGGGGAATAGTGGAGCAGACTCCCCAGGGAGGCATCGTGGAGCGCCCACCTCAGCACAGCATCTGTGTTGTGCCAGAATCGACCTTTCACATACCTTTTCAATCCATTCTTGTTCTTATGGTTTTGTTTTCCAAGATTAATTAATAGATCAGCTACAAATCTGGGGTAAAGATGGAAGGCCCCAGGGACCACTGGGCCATTGACTGAAGCAGGAAATGCAACTGGGAGAGCACATTTGGAAGGAGATGTGATCAGTCTGTTATTGAAAGAGTTGAGTTTAAGTCCCCGTAACTTCCAGGTAGGAGCAGCGCCTAGGGCAGGCAGGCCTTGAGTTCCCAGATCCTGAGCAAGGGTGGGGCTGGAATAAGAAAATGAGGATAAGTAGGAAACATGAGTTCAGGGAGACCTAAAACAGTCTAAAAAGAAACAGAGGAGCCAGTGGGGAGAGAAAAACCAAAGGAGACTGGGGGTGGGGTGGGCAGAGAAGGTGTCAATAGCATGACCAGGTCTACACAGAGGCCACACCCTGGTGCCTTAGATTTGGCCATGTGGAAGTCCCTGGTAGCCTCTCCCAAGGCCGAGTGGACATCGTCTCGGAGGCCCTGAAGGTAGAGGATGGGTGGTGGTGGGCAGGGTAGAAGACAGAGAGGGTTCAGACCAGTCTCTCTAGAAGCTCAGCTGTGGGGAAAGGAGACAGAGGGCGGTCCTAGAGGGATACAGCAGGTGCCACGTGAGAGAGGCTATGGGGCTCTGGATGGATTATTATTTGGTCTTGTATTTTTAAAAAGTTGGATCAAAATAATGGAATTTCTTCACAGTTAAGGAGGGGAGTGAGTGTCAGAGCCCAAAGAAAGATAAAAGACTGAGGGGAATCTTCAGTGTAGGAGTGAAGCCCTCCTTGCCCTGAGCTAGGAGAGGAGATAGTTCTTGCTCCAGGTTCCTTTGTGGAAAGAGGCAAGAGAACAGATAGTGTCTGTGAAGTCAGAGACAGACTGCCCACTGAGAAGGACGGGTGGGTGTGTATGGGGTCCAGGGAGAGGATGAACTTCAGAGGAGCCACTGAGAAAGAGCGGCGGGGGCCACCTGGCTTCTGGAGTTGTCCAGAAGCGCAGAGCCTGGCCAGCTGGAGAGACCATGTCGGGATGGCCACATGGCCTGTGGGTGGGATTTTCCTCTGCCATCTTGGGCTCAACTGCTCAAGTGCATGAGCAAAGATGGATCTGAAGTTTCACAAGTTGCCTCTGCCTGTGGTCAAGGAGATAGAAAAGTAGAGCAGTTGCTGTTGAAAGAGAGAAGGAAAATGAACCATTCTGGTTTTAAAATATGTCCACAAATTCTTTGGTCCTCCTCCCTCTTCTAAAAGGTGGAGTTTAATCCCCTGGCTGTGGGTACAAATTGATCTTGAGCTGGGCCACTGGGGAATAGAATGTAGAAGTCACAGTGTGCATGCCTTTTAATCCAAGGTCACAGGGACTTTGTGAAGTGAGATGTGAGGACGTAGAGCAGTCACCACACTCCATGGCCCCTGAAATCCCAGAACACATAGTGTGGGAGGAAGGACCTGGGTGAGTGTAATGACACCGGAGCTTCTTCTTCGAGGCAACAGTTCTGAGTAAACTAGGCTCAAGGGTGGCAGAGGCTCAGGGAGGTGAGCCAGTGGCATCAAGGCTCCTGGACAGTGTCACCCAGAATGGGGATGGGGCTTGGGCTGGGAGAAAGATCTACTTTTTGTGCAAAAGCCTTAGCATGCAGTGGGGCATGGTTCACGCCAAGAGATGAAACAGATGAGGTGGCCTCTTTGGTGGCCTGAGCCCGCAGGGAGGTTCTCACACAAAGCCAAGGCCTCACAGCCCACAGCCAGCCAAGGAGACTCAGAACAACACCACCGCCCTGCAGGCCCAGAAGGTGTGGCTGAGGGAGCAGGCCACAGACCACTGAGTCATCTTACAGTGCCAGATCTACTGAGTGCCAGGCACCAGGGACACCAACATTGTGGCCCTAGTCTACGTGAGAAGCAGTCAGCAAACAGTCCTACGGGGGAGGGGGATAGTTTTCCTACCTTTCCCCCATCTCGCCATGCTGCACCAGAGCGGGGGATGCACTACAGCAGCATTTGCTGCCTTTTCTGAGGCAGGGTCCTGTCTTCCACATCTGTCCTCTGTCACTCCCCCAGCACACACACACACACACACACACACACACACACACACACAGAGTGGCTCCTGATTCTTGGTGCCTCTGGGCTCTGACTGCCTCAGGCCATACTGCTGTTCCTTGTCTCATCATCACCTCTTCTCCAGGTGTCCCTGTCTTCTCCAGACACAACATTCCTGTGAGGTCACCTGAAACCACTGCTCTCACATCTGGCTTGTCTGCTAGACCTGCTCTTTATTTGGACGAGCCCTTCCTAGGAGGTCCTGCAGTTCCGGTTCCTGTAGCACAGCAGTGGCGAGCCTACCACTCTCATGCCATATGGGGCTTCTATGATTGAAAGCTCTAGGGAATCAGTTCTCCTCCACACAGACCTCCACTTCCAGCCATCTCTGACGCCAAAGGGGGCAGAGCTCAGAAAGCATCACCAAGCCTTGGCACCTGTTAGAGCTCTCTACATTCACCCTGAAATCCAGTATATGCTCTGTGTCATTAAACTTACTCAGGTTCTGGATTCAGGCTCTACATACTGGGTCACACACTTTCGAAAGGACAGTGGTGACTCTGGGGTGATCCCTTGCCTCTTCTGGCATCTCATGTGTCTGCATGGCCCACAGTCGCAGTCGGGGGGAAGTGACATGAGAGATGCAGACACCGGGACAGGACAAGACCAGAGAGACGCAGCTTGTGCAGAAGGGCCAGGCACACCATGCCCTTGGACCTCAGTTTTAGCCCTCTGTGTTTGCAGTTGTTTAATGTCGAGACAAGTCAACTCAAAGCTGTATAATAAATGAATTGCAGCTTGAGTCTTGGCAAGATTTGTTTTGCTTGAGGGAAATTGTTTATGCTAACGGATCCCCCTCTGCATAGCTTGATTTATATTAAACAGAGTCTTGTCCATCATCTGGATGCTGCTGTAAACAAGATAATCTTTGTCTACCAGGAGCGAGCTCGATGCCAATGACTTTAAATAAACACCAGCACCAGTTTTGTATTTACATTGTCTGAGGTAAGCACTGGCAAAGGTTGTTAATGGCGCCATTGGCCCCTCCCTGGCTAAGGTCAGTACCAGCTTTCAGATAGACCTGGTTTGAAGAGGACTCACTCAGGGAAGAGATTTCATTCATATAGCAACTGAGTGCTACAGCCAGGGCTGCATTCTTTTGTGTGGTGTTGGTGTTTTGAAAATTCTACCTAGATAGCATGACTTCTTTTCGTGCTGGAAAGAGCAGGGCATGGGTGGGGAGACGACCTCAGACATACAAAATGAAATCATGAACTTGAGCTATCGACACCTCCCTCCAAGGGTGAGGCTTTAGGGCTGCAAGGATTATATCATTCATGGGATCATGACTCAGCTCTAAGGAAGGTATCTGTGCATTGAGTTGCATTCCAGGTGGGAAATAAGTGGAATTTTGCACAAGTCTGTGTGTCTGCTGCAATGCCAAAGCAAGTAACTGCAGAAGCCTACCACTCTTCAGATGGTGATAAATGATCTCTGTAGAGGAAGAAAGTGAGAAGTCGCTTTTTCTGGGTAATCTCCCCTGTAAAGAAAGCAAGAACTAGGTAGAGTGTGAGATTCACACTTCCGCCTATATTCAGGGACAGACTGACAAGGCCTTTAGTAGTAGCAACTGTTGAATTAGTATTCCAGGCCACAGACGCAGGACACAAGAGCTGAACAGGCTGCCTATGACACTATTCACACAATGATATGGGACCAGGGATGGTACTGGGAGAAGGAGGTCTGAATATTTCATGAGGAGAATCATGGTAACAGTGAGATCTTTGTTACCTCTTGTTTGACATTGTTAGAGGTCTGAAAATTTCTCAGGTCTGATTTGTAAGCCTTCAAACTCAGGTGAGCAAAAAGTATTTTCACAATCAAAGAGGCTAACACCTCTTCAACCACTTTAAAACTGCACACTTCTACCATGATGTTTCTACCTTAGAGCCAGCCAACCGTGGACTGAAACCATGAGCAAAAATAAACCTTTCCTCCTTTAAGTTATGCATGTCAGGTAGTTTGTTCCATCAGTGAAAAAGTGGCTAACACAATATTTTATAGTAATTGTTTCACACAAGTATAGTGAGTATAGTCCCAAATAACAGCAAGTTGTTTTAGTTACTTTTCTCATTGCTGAGGCAAAATACCAGACACCCAAATTTAAAGGAGGAAAGATTTATTCAGCTCATAGCTTGCAAACTCTGAGGTTTCATTCCATAATCAGCTGGCTCCAAGGCAGGGTGGTACAAAGCAGAGGAGCAACAGTTCATGGTAGTGAAAGACAGCAAAAGCAATGAGAGAGACAGAGAGAGAGAAAGAGAGAGAAAAACACCTCTTTCTGTTCCTTATATTGTATGCAGGCTACTCACCCTATGGCAGGAGTAGCACTCATACCCTTAATCCCAGCATTGGACCATGAATCTATCACAAACTCTAGATTCAACCACCTCTGAAAAACCCACCCTCTATGGCTACATGAGGCTTTGGGGGGCATCCAGACACAAACGATAACATTCTTCCCCTGCCTCCCCAAGACTCATGTACATTCCTTTATACAAAAGGCATTTATTTAATCCATCTCTAAGAGCTGCCAAAGTCTTAACAATTTTAGCATTGCTAAGGAGTTTCAGCTCTACTTTTTCAGCCAGCATTTCTGAACCTTTCCAAACTCTTCCCATGAGCCATCCCCAAAGGCTCCTGAATCACCTGGTCAGGTTTAGTCACAGTGACAACACCACTCCTGGTACCAAATTCTGTATTAGTTACTTTTCTCATTGGTGAAACAAAATACTGGTCACCCAAAGTTAAAAGAGGAAAGGTTTGTTTAGCTCACAGTTTGTAGAGGTTTCAGGTTGTAATTGGCTGGATCCAAGGCAGGGTGTTACGTGGCAGAGGGGCAACAATTCATGGTGGCATAAGACAACAAAAGCAATGAGAGAGAGACAAACCTCTTTCTGTCCCTTATACTGTATGCAGTCCACCTACACTAGGGCAGTCCACCTACATTCACACCCTTAATTGGACCATGAATCAATCATAAACTCTAGATTCAACCACCTATTAAAAGCCCACCCTCCATAACTACATGAGGCTTTAGGAGGACATCCACACACAAACCATAACAGAAATACAGTATAATAAATACCTAAGCCAGTAACCTAGTTATTTCCCATCATTATCCATTACAGTAGTGCCTTGGTTCACAAACGTAGTTGTTGTACAATTTTGGAAAAGATGACCACACTTGTGTTTGTAGGGGAAAGATAAACACACCATGCTTTTGTCATCTGATACAGAGTTTGCAAACAAAATCAAACTTTTGCCAAACACTTCTGTTTGTAAAATAAATTGTTTGCAAACAAAAGCATTTGTGAACTGAGGTACCACTGTGTTGTATACTGCATATAACTGTATGCACTGTATAGCAGTGAATGGCAGCAAAGTAGATGTGTTGACACCAAACATGTGAGTGATGCCTTGCTTCATGACATTAGGATGGCTATGATGTCACTGGGCGATGACAATTTGTTGCTCTGGGACCACTGTTGTATGCACACTCTGCTGTTGATGGAAATGTCATTATGGTACCTGACTGTACTTAGCTCATATGGGTATTGGGAAGCTTAGATTAACTTTAGTGTGACATAATGCAAGCCATTAATGTACTTTTTAATGGGCCTTTTCTGCCTAGTACAGTGTGTGTACTTACAGGTAGATGCTCAAAACACACTGTTATGATATAAATGCTCTTAACAGTGCAGGCCAGTTGCACAGAACCAAATCCACTCCAACAACTTTAGCAAAAAGGTATAAAGAACCCATGGAAGATAAAAAAAAAAAAGAACCCTTAGAAGGGCTGAGAAAACCAACTCAAGGGTGGTCTTTTGTGGATGAATCCCAAACCCACCATGTCAAAGGAAGCCACCAAAGGAGCTGCTGTCTCTTCTGTGCCCAAGAAATAACCACTGCTTCTGCAGGTTCCAAAAATCACACAAGCTCAGTACTGTATTGTTCCCCCTCCCCCCGCCCAACTGAGTGATGACCTCCTGATGTCTACAAGTTTGCTCAGAAGGCACAACTGACTACTGACTCAAACTCACATGCTAAGGAGAGTAAGACAGTGTGATACTACAGAGTGTTCTCACCTCTGCTGATCAGAGAAGGTGAGAGAAGGGCTAGCCCCAGCTATCCTGTACCACCATGGATGTAAGGACAGGGAGAAAGAAACAGGCCTTGAACGTCTTCCTTTTTCCCCTACCCTCAGTGGCTTTGGATTCCTTGGGTGTCTGTGGCCATGGGTATTTTACATTAATGCTGTACTAAATACTGGAAGGTTCCAGAAACTTCTAGAAATAGGAATAAATATAAAATGCAAACAAGACAAAGCAGATATTGCTAGACATCTAGATATATTGAAGGATAAATATATAGGGGGTGTGTGCATGTTTGTGTGTGATTAAAAATCTTAAAACCTCTTCTGTTGTTCAAGCAAACTGAGGTGTCTATATTTGCAGGATTCTTCCAGACAGCATTGTGATATAAAAAACACATTGTTCTTGCTGATTAAAAATGGAACTGAAGGGAATGTAGCAAAATATCTCTGGGATTTATTTCTGGGTAGTGAGATTAGAACTATGGGGTATCTACTTTCTATGCTTCTTTATAGATAAATCAACATCCATGTACTCGTTTTGTGTATAAAAAAAAATCAAATGATTTTAAAAATCAACCAACCAAAACTTACTTTCTCCTCTCTCCTTTCTCAACCATTTGCTATCTCAAAAAGACCTCTTAACTGTGGAAGTAATAAACCATTAGTTGTTTTCTAAGTATAACAGCCAAACAAGTTAAAAAACAAATTTATCTACTTGTCAATGGCTGGATTTTATCCTGTCTTTTGAGTGAACTTGCCTGTCACCAACTTGAAACTGAAATGCAGACTTTGAAGCTATGACAAGGTTGTGAAGCTAAGTCAAAGTTGCTCCCGGTTTAGCTTGTTGCTCTAAAAGCAATGGCAACAGTCCTATGGCTCCACCCCTCTGCAATGAAGACTGAGGCACATGTTGTGTGGTGTGTACAGCAGAAAGAGGAACACAGACTCTGGTGTACACCAGCTCTTAGCCATACTTATTTATAATTTCTAAGAAGGTTACTTTCTTCTCAGCTAATGTCTTCCAGAATATTTATCAAATACCTGGGAATACATCATGTTTCTGGATTTGACATGTAAATATTCATTGGCTTTTTACAAAGGGGAAATCTCATATTATACCCTGCAGCATCTAAGGAGGCCCTGAGGGCTGTAGGGGCTGGGACCGGGCTCCACGTCACTCTGCCCGGAGCCTGCCACACATAGTCACCCCCAGCCCCAGTTCATTGTATCTCAGAGGTGCCATAAATATTTCTTGCATTTAACTGCCACATTCTCCGTGCATAGATTGGAGCTTGTATTGAAATAAAAGTTCAAAGAGAAAAAAAAAAAAAGGCAAGGCTGAGATCTTCCCAGTTTCCACAGGGCCCCTTCAGATGCTGTTTGAAGTCTGCAGTCAAGGAGGGAAACCACAAGGAGAGAGTAAATAGTTCTGCCCCAGTGTCTCCTAAAAGAAGCACACTCCTAATCGTCTTATTTTTCTGCAGCCTCACATTCCCCTGTGCCCAACAATGACTTGTTGCTTATAAACAAGCACCACCTCCAGTCAGGCTGGAGGATTCCGGCAACAGCGCTGGTGACGTGGTGGGGGACAGAGGTGGACAGGCAGGGGTCCAAGCCAGCCTTATTCTTGGGGAAAATGTGTGTTTTCTTCTCAACACTTCACATATAGGTAATGTCAATAATTCTGTTTGGTTCCGACTGCTTCCCTTTAAGCTGTGTGGAGGTCGTCCTGGCTTTTTTTGTAAGCCCTCTTTAGTATGGGGGGCACACATTGTAGCCATCCATTTTTTCATCAGCTTCTGGCTAACAAAGCCTCCCCCTGTCCCCAAGCCCTGAAAGCCCCTGACAGTTTCCTGGTGTCTGTCACTACCGGTTTGTCGGAAGGGATGGGGGGTGGGAAGGAAGAAGAGAGCCAGGGAGAGAGAGGGTATGAGGGAGGGAGGATGGAAGGGAGGGGAGGCAGCCGGTTCAGACAGGCTCTGTGTGTGGTCCCAGGCTTGTGCTGTTGCATGAAACCCATGCTTCATTCCTGGCTTGGGTTAGACTTACACGTCACTGAATGAGCCCCTTATCCACTTTCCAAAACACTGACGAGGTTTGAAAGGGCTCTGTGGGCAGACTGTTACTATCAGCAAAAGCAAACATGCCTGCATATTTAGTTAAGCATTTTTAATATTTAAACACCATAACCTTCAGCTCTTCACAAGCATTGTAGCCAAGAAGGAAGGCAAGCAGGAGGGGCAGAATACTGCAAAGGTTCCCCCAGGTGGGTCGCTGTCCTTCTGAAGGACCCACCCCAAGCCGCCAGATTATTTCCCAACTCCAGAGCTAGAATTCTGGACGAGTGTGGTCTCCACGGTTGGGGGCCCAGAGCGGGCTGGGTGGCAGCTCAATGTGGGAGTCCCTCACAGCCCTTCGTGATCACATGTGGTTTAAGGGTTTAAGCCTGACCTAGTGTTCCCACTCTGCAAAACATAAAAGTCTAGGCAGCCCCACCCTGCAGAAAAGAGGCTCTCCGGTGGCCGTGTAATTACCATGCTAAGCTGGGAAGCTGAGGGTGTCTAAACCAGGAGCAGGTACAGCAAATGTTATCCCTGTGGGCCCAGTCTGTGTTCCTTGCTCTGGGGACTGGGGCCTATAAAAGCAGCCTGGCCCAGGACTGTGACAGACCACAGTGCCTCCACGGTGGGGGATCCCTGCCTGCCTGGACAGGATGGCACCAGACACACGCCCACTAGACCTCGTCCCACCAGCTGGAAGTGGCTTTCTGGTTTATGGAGGAAGACGGATGTGTAAAGTCAGGAATTCTCCTCAGCCAGAGCAAAGCCGCACCCCCGCTTGCACCTTGGCTCAGGGAGCCCAGCCAGGCCTCCGGGCCAGGCTCCCCCAGTGCCACCCAAGGGTCTCAATGGGCTCCCTGTCTGCCAGAGCAAACCAGAGGTGACAAGGGACATGGGGGAGGACAGGGGACTTTTTCTCTCTGGAGGCTCTACTAGGGAAAGCCTGCCAAGGGGTTTGCCAAGGAGTTCAGTCTGCTCCAGGACTATGAATGCACTAGTAAATGGCTCCATTCAAAGAAGACAAGGCCCAAAGGGCTTCTCTAAAGCAACCACCTCCCGTGTCCCCACCAGAACTCCTACCTCCTGCCCCCCAGGGTGCCATGCATGTCCCTTCCTCCAGCTCAGGCTCTGTGTTTTGTTGAGTTTCTAAGTGTTCTATATCCCAGGGTACAGTTTCCTAGAAGCTTCTGGTCTCCTACCTGTCTACAGTGTGTGTGTGTGCATGTGTGTGTGTGTGTGTGTGTGTGTGTGTGTGTGTGTGTGTATACTGCCATTCAGGGATGTTGTAGGGCTAGAGAAGGGCCAGCTTGGAAGTACCTCAGAACATGGCTGTTGCTGATATGAATCAAATTTTGGAGCAGTTTGGAGAGATCCCAGGGCTCTGCTGGCAGTCTTAGGGCTGGATGGCAGCAGAAGGCCTTGCAGTGCCCTGTCCTAACAGGATGGTAGGGTGTAAAGTGGAGGTGAGGGGAAGGTGTCTGCCACTTTCCACCTGCACATCTCTCCTCTTTCAACTCCCAGCAGCCGTGGAGACAGAGTTGGAGAAGGGGATCGTTGCCATGCCCCAACCCTTGCAGAGACAAGACCTTTGCATCAATGGCACAATGTTTGCATGTAACCTACCACATCCTCCACACTTCTGAGAATGCTTATTACAGTGTAAATGTTATGGAAAAAGCTAGTATACTGTATTGTGTAGGGACTAAAGACAAGAAAAATAGATATGTACATATTCAGTACAGATGCAAGTTTTTTCCAGTATTTTCCATCCAAATCCACACATGTGGAACTGCAGATGTGAAGGGTACTAGAGTACTGCCTTCTGCTACCCAGGAGTCTCCAAAGCTTCTCCCCTCCATGCCTCTATGACACAGACCCGAGATAGCCTGCACCTGCACCTCAGCCTTCAACACGCCTGGGGGGACCTCAAAGCTGCAGTCCAAGGAGCCCAGGCTCATTGTGGTGCTGGAGGTCACCATCAGGAGGGGCCAGATGCCGGGAGGAAAGGAGGAACTGCTTCAACACCATCCTTTCCCTCAAATCAGTCCACCATATGATGAGAACATGTGTTCTGCACAGAGCAGGGGCCGAGTAAAAACCTGGTGACCTTAGTTTACCCTGAAGGGCAGAAAAGACACAAAAGACTGGCTGGAAAGTGGGCAAAAAGGAGTAGGGGGGAAATAATTTCAAACTAGGAAGGTATTTCAAACTGAGATATATCAGAGAAACAGTCTCAGTGTGTGCCACTAGGGCCAGATGGTGCTGGCCTGGAGCGGCCAGCTCAGCTGTTCTCCAGCCACACCGAGATGAGGCTTTATCCATGGGATGAGGAGGAAGGGCAGAGGCACCATTGTGGTTTAGGTCAAGAATGTCCTCAAAAGACTCTTTATGTTAAGAGATGGGGTTTTCAGAAGGTGAGTAGGCCATGGGCACCAACCTTATCAATTGATTAAACCAGGCAAGGCATGGTGGCATAAGCCTGTAATTTCAGCACTCTGGGAGGCTGAGGCAGAAGGATTGCAAGTTCCAGCAACTTATCAACTCAGCAAGACTCTGTCTTGAAGTAAAAATTAGAAAAAAAAAAAAAATCCCCAAAATCTAGGATGTAGTTCAATGCAAAGACCCTGGGTTTAATTCCTAATACAATCAATAGATAGATGATTAATAAATAATAGATGAAAGAAAGAAAGAAAGAAAGAAAGAAAGAAAGAAAGAAAGGAAGGAAGGAAGGAAGGAAGGAAGAAAGGAAGAAAAGAAAGAAAGAAAGAAAGAAAGAAAGAAAGAAAGAAAGAAAGAAAGAAAGAAAGAAAGAAAAAGAAAGAAAGAAAAAATGAATTCATTGATGATTTCATAATGAATGTGTCAGGCCTGGTTGGACAAAGTAGGTCACTGGGAGCATAGCCTAGGAGGACGTATTCTTGTCCCCACGTGCTTCCTCTCTGCCATGAGGTGAGCGGCTTTCCTCTGCCATGCCTCAGGCCATGATGTTTCTACCTTGCAGCCGTCTGACCATGGTTGAAACCCTCTGAAACCATGAACAAATATATACTTTTCTTCCTTTATGTTGTGGGAATCAGGTATTTTGTCTTAGAAACAGAAAGGTGACAAATACTAATGCTGTGAAGGTTTGGCACAGAACTGGAGCTGTGAGAACTTTGTCTCAGGTCCTTTCCTTTCTTGTGCTTCTGCAGAAGCAGGGCTGGAGGCCATTTGTCTGCCAGGGTGTCCTCCTTATACTCAAGGACCCAATCTGCTTATAGAGAGCCTTTCCAGGTCCTCATCATGGCCCAGGAAGTTTATATTTGTAACCCCAAGGAAAAGTTATTGGAATTCTAGCTAGTTAATTCCAATCTACAGTTGTCAGTGCAACCCATGGTGAGAATAAAGACAGTAAGGCATATTTGTAGTTAAGAGGAGCCAAGGGGTCCTAAGTCCAGCTAAAATAACGGCTAACTGGAACAAAGGCCTCAACCCAGGGCAGAACCAGGTTTTATTAATTCATGAAGTAGGGAGTGGCTTGAGGATGAATGACTGTAAGAATGGCAGGAAGTAGGTGAGTGCTGTGAGCTGGGCTGGGTAGGAGGCCTGAACTCACCTCTACAATATGCAGAGAGAAGGATATGCAGAAAGAGTAATTTGCATAACACAGTTGAGGTAGTAGCTGATGTTTTGGGGCCAGTGCTTTGGCTCTGATGTGTAATCTTTTAACTGTGGGAAGTCATAGCCTCTTATTTTGAATCTCAACTCCAGCCAACAGCATGGAGTGTGGCTCTCCTTCCTGCCTGGCTCACAAATGCATCTTGGCAACTACAGGATAGGAAACACTGACCTGTCACCTTACTTCAAAGACTACACATCAGCACCTTGGCTGGACCAATTTGCATTGCTTAAAGCCAATTGAAGGGATAAGGAAAAATCCTCATCAGCCCTGTACGTATGAATACATGGAAATAGGGCCAGGTTTAGCTAAAATGGAGATAATTGCCCTTCTTTCAAGGAGAATCATTGAGGTGGTCGTCTACATCTGGCGTCATCCCCACTTAGAACCAAATATCTTTCCTTGTGCCCCTTTGGCCTTCAGTTCTTGGGCCCTGTTGCCTCCTAGGATGGGGCCTTGTTACCCGTAGGATCTCACCAAGAATTCTTGGGCTCAGCCTTTGGCTGGAAGACTCCTTATGTGTGACGGAAGCATCATGCTGACTTCTCCTACCAATGACTTTCAGGCCTCAAATTCCAGTGAGGAGACTGTTCTGCCCCTGAAGCTGCAATGCAAGTAAACCTCAATGAAAAACTGCAAGCCACAGAAATGACAATGCAATGGACCAAATGTTTGTCTCATATGATAAAGCCCTGATCACCATTGTGATCGTATTTGAAGGTAAGGTCTTGAAATGTAATTAGGTCATGAAGGTGAGGTCCTCAAGATGGGATTAGTGCCCCAATAAGAAGAGGTATACTAGCTTTCTCTCCACCCTGTGAGGGCAGAGTGAGAAGGATTCTTTAAGCCAGCAAATGGGCCCTCACCAGACACACCTACTCTGCTTGCACCTTGGTCTCAGACTTCCCAGCCTTCAGAATTGAGAAAAATAAACTTCTGTTTTGAAAACTACCCAGTCTGTGATATTTTTGATAAAATCCTGAACTAAGATTATCAGTGGAAACTGGGTTGAATAAATAATATAACCACACAATGGAATGCAATATAGCCAGTATAAAGAATAAATTAGAATTGGCCATATGCTACCTGGAAATTATCTCTAATATATAGTAGATAAAATCAGTAAGGCCAGAATTGTAGGTATAGAAAAACCCCTTCTGTGTAAATAGAAAGTACATAATCCTTGCTGGTTTAAAGTGAATTTCAATAAGTGTACAACCACTAAAACTTCTTTTGAGGAGGGGTACTTGGGACTTCACTGTTCAGTTCTTCACACTGTTTATTTCAAAACTCTATCTATGTGATCATTTTAGCTTGAAGGAGAAGACCTGCATGTGCTGGTTAAGTGAGGTAAGGACATTTGGAGGGGGTGTCCCTTGAAATGAAGGATTTGACCAGTGAGGAGGAGACAGAAGCCCCAACCAGAGTTTAACGTGCTTGTGACACCACAGGCAGTTTTAGCACAAGCTGTTTCCAATTAATATCACAGCCCTCCCAATGGCTGGAATGTAAACCACATACCGGTTATGAGAATCCCAAGAAGGAAACTCCCTCTTCCATCTGTCTATCCACCCCTGTCCACCTACCCACCCACACTGGGCTGGGGTGTCTCCTGAGGGCAGGGAAAAGGAGAGAGAGAGGAAAGAAAGAGGAGAGCACATTCACCTGTGGACAAATGCACTCTGCATTGCTGCTTCTCTCCTTAGTTCAGGGGGAGATTGAGGCAGTGAAATCTCTTGCCCACATATTCAAAGCTGTGGCTGGCAGTGAAGAGAATTCCCACTGTTGACACTGGACAGACTGGGAGCAACTGGCCCCCTGGAGGCTGCAGAGTGCTAAGGCGTAGAGCAGCCAAGGCTGCCAATCCTCCCAGAAATGCTGCACCAGGAAGTGCTGTTTTCTGTTTTTCCAAACTATGTTCTACCTCTTCCAGCCTCCTGCCTCAACTTGGAAAGACATGGTGAATCCAATTCCATCCATATTTCTTGAACACCTCCTGTGTCCTAGATGTGTTAAGAATGTGAATGAGAGGTCACCCCACCCCCTGAGGCTACCAACTCCCTATGGTTCATCCTGGTAGCCAGTGGAAAAGGATCCCCCATTCTGGAATAGCTGTTTGGGGCCCAGCCAACAAGCTGTCTAATGTGAGTTAGGAAACCAGGGTTTTATTCCTGGAGTTAGCACTAGCTGGTAGCTAATTTAAGACAGTTCAACTTTCCTCCTTTGGTCTTTTCTTTCAGCCACATGAGGGACAAATCATTCTTGAGGATAATGTAAGTGAACCAACCAACATACCACTCCCTGGCACCCATGTATGGAAAACATGCCTATGTTTACTTGGGAGTTGACCTTTGGGGCAGTGGGAAAAGCCATGTCCACAAGATCAAGGCAGGTAGGAATAGGAAGTAAAAGTGTAAGTAGGGCCCAGAGGGCTTGCTGGGAGGAAGGAGGATATGTCATGCACAGTGGGTGCTGGGAGGAAGAAGGAGGTGGTTCGGT